TTCACTAAATGATAATAATGGCTCATGTCTGAAGGATGTCTCACTCGACTCGATTTCGGTCTATGAGTGCAACCTTTAGACATTTCAAGATTGTTTCAACCAATTTATACAGACAATTGATAGGTAGGCGAGAAATTATTACTCTGACTGATTTCAGGTGTTTTTGTAGGTGCAAGTAAGATGAGTAACGAACTTCGTGAAATGGAGTACTTATCCAATTATTTTGTTGGATAACAGCCGGAAACCTATGCAAAGTTTTCAAAGTCTCGGAAATATGTACTGGCTTTCCTGGATTTTGAGTTCTTTTGATTACTTTCTAAGGGTTTCGGAGAACTTGAGAACCTTTTCTCGAAAATCTATAAAGGATTTCATGTAGTGACAAATCGGAAAACCCTGCATAGATTTCCGATAAAGTTTTTTTTTTAGAGTGTATTTTTGTCTACGAGTCTCAGATATAAAAAGAGATCTATCTACAATGTATAACACGAGCAGTGTGCTACACTGTTGTCAACGTCAATAGAAAAACTCATTTCTATTCACTCTTTCACATGTAAAACAATTTGGCAGAAAAGAATATATTTAAATAGTAAAGAAGAAATTAATTTTGATATTATTTACTTGATTTAGTTTAGCAAAGCGAATATTTGTATGAATAAAACTACAGAAAAAAAATCAAGTAGTACATGTCGCATGATTATTGTAACGCAAATACGTCCTTCTTAAATTACTTAAATAGTCTATTTTGTCACTTGTTTCCGCTTGTCAGCATTCATCATTAGACAACAGCACCAACAAAAGATGTGACAAATTTATTTTGAAGGTTAAACTACCTCGGAGTTTGTTCATGACAATGTTCTATGTACTCTCAAATGACAAGTTTCATCCAATTGGTCAATTTCTCATAATTTTCTGCAAAATAAGAGAAGAGCAAGAGAGAGAAACGAAAAGTTGTTAAAAGCTTACATCAAAGGGGAAAAGGCGGATTTTGTACTCTCTGAATTTTTCAGATTCTGTTAGATTTTTAATCTCTCTAATGCTTTGATCTTTTAGATTTTTTTTTTACTCTCAAACATGTATGAAACATACTCATGGCCTCTCTAACTTCGATAAACATAATGAAATCTAGTTTTCATCAAAAAAATAACTTTAACAATATCAGAAGTTGTGACACATTATCTGGCACAAAAAGTATCAGAGAGATAAAAAAAGAGCACGTCCATTTCTTCTTTCTTTGGTAATAGAATAGCACTAAGAAAAAAGCTGACTAAAAGAGAATCGAAGTCATTCTTATAGTTTCTTGTTTGTAGTATCAATCTCAATAAATAAATTTAAATACTAAAGAGCTTGTATACGATGATAATCATTCGATGTCTCACTGCTATTATTTGGCATAACTCAGCGAATTACTGATCTATGATCTATGTTCTTTGTATCTGTGTTAATGTATGACCAATTATCAATGACTAAAGAAGAGCAATGATGATCAAAATAAGATTTTCTTGCTTGTGGAAAGTCAGAGAGTGTTATATACCCATCATTGGAAAAGCTTTCCCACTTTTTCTCCACCATTGGATCCAATATGTGATATGGCATCGTAGTTAGATTTGTTCTTATATAAATTCATATGAATCTTATTTTAAATATATCAGGAGTATTGAAGGTGAGGGTGATCGATCTATGTTCGTCCATACGCTCACCCACATCCGCTCTTACCACTTTTTCGAAAGAAAAGATGTTTGCCTCTATCATTATTTGAAAGGTTTTAATTGGAAAAAATAAACTTTTTTTCATAGTTATAAAATCAATCAATTTCATACGGTTTTCAGTGAGTAATTATAAAGTAGATTTGGCTTATTATTCATTGTAACAATGTCAAACTATGATAAATGATTTTCCAACGACAGTGTGGACCATTTTTTCTTCGTTATTATGTAAAAGAAGTTTTTGTCATCGTCCTATCTTATCCTTGAAATTTTGATGTTAATATAGAAATGAAATAGCACTGATAGCATAAAAAGTTAAATCAAATGTTCATAAAAAAATATGAAAAGCTAAGGCATTTTATTTACTGATTATACAGCTGTTTCATTGTTTAAAAAATTGATAAAATCAAAATAAATATAAGATTTTTCCCAAATACTATCACCAACAGTTGATGTATTACAATTTTTGCGTTCACAAAAAATCTTCCAAACGCTAGAATTTGTTCGATCATTCATATTAAATATTTTCTTCATGCACTAATAAAGGGTTCTCAAGATCTTCAGTCAAACATGTTGCACATAATTCTATTCTTGTTTGACCCATCCTTCTAACTAATCCGCGTTGTATACATAAAATAACTGTTATCGTAGTGTTACAATTTCTAAACCCTCTACTTGAACCATGATAACACCATTCACCACGAAATGGCTTAACTGAATTGAGAAGATATGCCAGTTCATGAAGACTTTCATTCACTATTAATGCATTCAACAGAAGTTTTTATTGACTCAAACTATTGCATTGATAGATTATTTCTTTTGCTCACGTTGATGTTAGTGATGTTTTCGTTCGATAAGCAACATCGACTTGAAGTTGTTGTTGAGATGGTGCTGTCTTCATACTGATGTCTGCGATTCATGCTATGTTTGTATTGTCTGGATCTCGTTGCCATGATACTAGGATATAACAGTTGCTTGAATTAACTTTTAATGAAGAATTGTGTAGTTCTGCAGGAAAATGATCAGTTGTAATGGTATAGTTAAAACTATTTTATATCATATGGAGTATTGTAACAAGACATATCATATGAAATGGAATAGAAAATTTGAAACGTTATAAATAAATAGAAGATTATTTTGTGTGAATTCAATTCTTTCATAGATATCAAGATAGCAGTATTTAAACAATACTCTACTGAAATGATAAGCTTTTCTTTGAGAGAAATATACGAAACATTGTTGTTCTTTACTAACGTTGCTTTTCATCAACTACTTATTTAGTATCAAATGTAATAGTTGTTTTAGGTTAAAAGATAAATAATGTGCACCATTTATCTTTGTTCTTATTCAAAAGAGACAACACTTGTCTCAAAACAATGCGTCTTCATCCCGATTAGTAATTCAAAAATTGATCTTTTCATACAATTTGCAAATGGGAAAGAAAAAGACGTAAGATCTTGTGAGGATGACAATTATTTTCGATTAATTAAATCATGGAGAATTTATCATTTTAAATATTTAAATATAAAATTCGTAACATAATTCGTACTTATCTTCTTTGATTTTTTTCATTTCGAACTATTGTTTGCACCTACCTGAATCAATACTATAGACTGAAACGAGTCAGAAAGATCGCGACTCGACTCGGCTCAGCTTAGCTCGATTAAACTCAAAAATGTGTTCACTGCCCACAACTTTGCTTTGCTTATTAATTGTCACTGCAACTATAGTCATCACATCGCATAAGTCTTCTGTCTTACGATCTACACAGTTTACTCGAGTTTTATCAAAAGTAAAATCGACAAACTTTTGCAGAGTCTGATAATCGACTGTTCGGTTCCCGTGATATATATCAATGATAGATTGTATCGTTAATTTTAGGCTGTGCCTATAGAAGGTAGATGAGTTTCTTCTTCTTCCTCACCTACCTCAATTGTTGAACGATTTGAATAAGATTCTCTCCTCACTATGCTGTAATTTTCATTATTTCTTATTATTTAATCAAAATCCATGTTGATATCGATGAGATTCTTCTTCTTTTATGAGAATAGTTTTTTCATCGTGCCCGGCGCCACTTGGACTCCCTGAAAGTCTGTAAAACATTGTTCGAATAGGTATATTATATTGAGCAACAGCGTTTTTCACCGACAACTTTTTATCTTGAATATCCATCAGCGCTTGCTTCATATCATCTTGTATATACTGATTCTATGTCTTGCGCTTGTACGTTCGTAGCATTGTCTACTATTGAAGTGATTGTGTTAAAATAGGAAGATAAGAAACAGAACAGGAGTTACTATTTATACAATATGTGATGAGCCATCGGATATCGTCTGTTGAAAGTGGTCTAATCCGCCCAATGGATCATCAATGTCTCAATAGACAAACATCGTACACTATCTTTGTTATTGCTTATAATGACGATGATGACTATCCGTATAGATTCTTGTTTATTTTTAGTTTTTATATTTATTTGTACAGTCTGATACTAATGAATTGGGCAAATATTTGAAATAAATGAGAAGTATTTTGAAAACAGGTGGCTTTCTAATGGTATTTGTTATATTTCCAATGACTTTTTCTGATCAATACTGAGGAAGAGCTATAGATATATGAAGGAAGGTGAGATAAATATTTTCTTCGACGGAATTATGTCAAAACAATGTTCCGATCTTTTGAAAATTAAGTTTTAAAAGTTTCAGTCAAAATAACTGAAAATGCTTATTCACACCACACGTATATATTGTAATGCTCATTCACCCTAAACAGAATGAAAAGGTATTGATATTTTTCTGGAGCTCTTTGCAGAAGATCTGGTATTTGGAACTAATTAAGATTCTAAAGTTGAAATTAGTATAGGATTGTAGAGAAATGTTTGGACTATCGAGTGGCACAAGTCCAACCTAAATCCGACTAGAAATGCTGCCAGAAATAACATATTATTGTCAATACTGAAAATTACTGAAGGTGCTTTTTCACTCCGAATGTACATGTTAACTGTCATTTTATCCTATCGAGGAGAAAATCGGCATTGCTAAAAGTAGGTCTCAGAAAAATCGGCGTGGAAATGTATCCTGATGAGATTTCTGAAAACTAAAAACACAGATCGATAGAAAAATATTTTCTCTACAGTGCTTGTAGAGGAAGTTTTTTTGTATCTTGAAAAGTAAAAAAGACACTAGTCGTGCAAGTGAAAAAATTAAAATCGTATGACCATTCACCTCTCTTTACTCTATTCTCTTTATTTTTGATAAGACAACTTGGAATACTTTTCATTTATAACGACGAAAAACACATATGGCGTCACTTGATACATCGAAGACAAATACATCACCAACAATAATAACAGGTAAAATTGTTTACGTTTAATAAATGCAAAAAAGATACAGACGATCAAAATCTATTTTTAAAGTCGAACGTGTCGAATATGATACGAATTGGATACTTTAATGAAGCGAATCATTGTATATTGACTATACTTAAACAAGAGACTCATTTTCAGTAGATGAACTATTTCATATTTCCAGTTCAATGTATCAATTCATTAAAATGTTTTCTTATCCCAATCCTCATTGTTGTTCTCATACAAATGTACACATTCTTCATATAACAAAACACTATCGAACACAAAAATCAAAAGAAGACAAACAAAGTAAACTAAAACAAAAGCCAGTACAGATAAAAATCTTCAACAAACATAGAAGATACTTCATACTTTAAAGGTATGACGTTTTTTTATCTAATGACGATGTTTTACGGCGTTTTCATCTAATCTCAAATATGAGAAATTAATAAAATAATCGAAATTATCGTTTCAATATTTGAACAGATCTTCAATTTCATGAATAAGTTGCAGAAATTTACCTATTAGTATGACCGATAACTTCCTATAATTCAATCACAAACTCGATATCTTGCCGAAGGTTTTTCGAAATTTAAATAATTTAGATACTTAGAAATCCATAGTTCTCTATCTCATCTGGTGAGCTCTTTCAGGAAAACCAGTTCTATATCGTGTTTTACATTTTAATCTCATGAAGATTGCGCTGAAAGCTTTTTTTTTATTGATACTCAGTTGAAAATGAAATGGATTACAATAATTTGCTATCAAATAGCTCAGATCAATAAATCATAAAACATTTCAATGCTCTTCTTTAACTGGACACAAACCTGGCTCTGCTTCATATGATCGTTGTTCAATAGTTGAACATAATTCGTAAGTCTTATAAAAAATGAACAAATTCTAAATGGACGCCGAAACTTCATTCATATGAAGAGAGACTCACTAAATCTCCTCATATAAAACTTCAGTAGGAGTGGTGAACATAAATAAAAAACAAAATTAATAGATTATAAGAGCAATTCGATTGTCAAAATATTCTAAAATTTGGTTTAATCCAGTTTACTTTGAATATATTATCCATTGAAACAGATAATTCGAGTTTTTTCTTATTTTTATTTGATTAGACAAGTTAACAGACATTCAATCTGATGGACAAGATGAATTAAAACAGTTAGAACGCAACATTATCGAAAAAGAAGCGTCATTAGATAAGACATTTGTTGATTTCGCAAATTCAATCGTTCACTTGAATGTAGGTGGGAAAAAAATAAGTACATCGAGAAAGATATTAACTTTGATCGAAGGTACTCTTCTATCAACAGTATTCTCGGGTCGATGGAATGAGAAATTGGTCAAAGAGGCTGATGGTGCCTATTTTTTTGATTATGATCCTGTGGTGAGAAAAATATGATCAATGAATTCCTTGAATGAATGACAAACATTTTTTATTTCAGCTATTTAAACATCTAATAAATCAGTTACGTTATTGGTCATTAAATCCATTGGTAACACGAGTTTTTTCTCCACCCAGTGGTAATCAAAATGAATTCATCAGTTTTGTTCGTTGTTTAAAATTTGCTGAAAGATTTTTGAGTGATACTTTTTCAGAAAAAGAGAATTCAAATGTTAAAATTGTTGATAATCAACGTTTATGTGTTAAAATTGGAGAAGATCAACATTGTGCTTATGTTACCGGTACTCTTCTTTATTTTCAAGGAAAACATTTTATAAAATTAGTGACTTCATTAACAAAACAAATTGGATTTATTGGTATTCGACCAGCCAATATTCCAATTCAAGTTAAATCAACTAAAACGTATCTTCCAATTTCCGATACATTTGGTATAGATAATAATTGTTTAGTTATTGATGGACACTGTATTACTATGGGAACGTCATGGGTAACAGGTTGTCTGTCTAATACTTTTGTTATTGAACTCGATTGTGATGCTCGTACAATGCATATCAAAAGAGATCAATATTATAGTCAGATTGATCACGGGTTTGTTCGATTTATTGATTTAACATCAGCCCAATTGCCATGGCAACTTTTTATCGTATTAAAAAACAAACATGATTATGTTCGTCTTCTATTGTGATCAACAATTTATTTATGTTTTTTTTATATCTTTTTCTCTTTCTCTAACTAATTTTATTCTAATTCAACAAGATTAATGATCAAATTCCAATCGAAATAAATCAAAGAGTTATTTTCAGTGTGTATCTCATTTATCTAATTTTACGACAAATATTTCGAACAACTTCGATCAATTGCTTTTAAACAAAAAATATATTTCATCAATTTTCTTAGGAAAATGTAAATATGATCTTATTCTTTCATTATCATTATTTATTTATATAATGCAAAATGAGAATTGTAAGGAAGGAGATTCTAATATTTCAAATATTTTCAAATTAAAAAGGATTTCTAAATCCAAGAAGATTAAAGTCAACGAACAAAAAAATTTGATAAAATACTTTAAAGTATTAATTAAAAATAGAGGGTGTGGTGTGAGTGGATGTTGTAGAAGGATTAAGGGAAAGAGAAGAATCGCATCCACCAACATCCACATCCAGCCACCTACACCCACACCTACGATTCTCTTCATCTTTACTTGAATATCACGCAGAAGAAGAAAGGTTCATTCATTATATGCTATCCATTGTACGTGTGTCTACACAGTTTCTAATTGAATGTTCGTTCGTGGTACTTTAAGATCTATATTGTTGCCTCTATGCGAGTGTTCAGAAATGAAAAACTATTTTCAAGAAATATAATAGCACAGCACGTATGAAAATAATATCAGGGAAATAATTTCTACTTGTTGTGAGATGCGACTGTTGAGCGAAAAGATTTTAGAGTAATGATCGACTTCACCGATGTTTCGTGACAATTATCGACCTTCGTACTGCACTCACCTAGTTTTTTAGGCACAATACACATCTCTGATTGGTAATACTGAGCTAACTATATATTGAAAAATCAATTGCTTGAACATGTAGAAAACTTACACTGATTACAAAAAAAAACAAAAACGAGTGGCTGAACTAACTATTATTTAAATATCATCTTTATTTTTGGTTTAAGTTAGTCTATAGATATTTTTATATAAATTTTGGAAAATAAGTTGATGATGATAAAAGAATAAATGATAAGCGTTTGGTTATACTCCTATAGGAATAAATCATGAAAAATCAGGAATGTAATACGGCTCCGAGACCTGTAATATTGAATTAGAGAAGAAAGAAAGCATCTTTTCTCAGACAAATGTTTTGTTTCATTGAGCTTAAAAATTTGATCTTTGATTCTATGACTCATCGTTCTTTGACACTAGGTAAGCAGTACCTATTTGTCACACCGATAAGGGCACCATCTACTATTGATATGGATTTTCATTGGCGGCTACCAGGGCAACAAGTAAGAATGATAAACAATTTATTGAACTCATTGTCGTCTTATAATCAAACACAATATAATAGCAGATGTTTCTCATCAATTTGTATTTATCGATATAGTTTTGTATGTTTGAGTGTAAATACGACAATATCATTATTTTCATTAATTTCTTCTTCTACAATCTATCTTTAAGATTGTAATAAAAATGTCATTGGAATCGTTGGCTAACGAGATCATAATTGATCTATTCGAATATCTTAAACCTGTTCATCTTCTTCGAGCATTTCACAATCTCAACATTCGCTTGAACAAGCTACTCTTCTACTACTTTCAAATTCATACTCTTGATTTTCAATCTGTATCTAATATTGATTTTGATATTGTCTGTCAAGAACATCTACCATCGATGGTTGATCAAATCATTTCAATTCGTCTATCGGATAATAACAATATTCCGTATGAAACCGATCGTTTTCTAGCTTATAATTTTACATTTCGACAATTTACTCGATTACAATCACTTACATTGGACTGCAATTCTTGTAAACAGGTACAAGAAAAAATTCTGTTCGAATTACACTATATATCGACTGAATTAACTCATTTGACTGTAATCTTAAATAGTGATGAATATACGGGGAAAGAGATTGAGATACGATCTCGATCTCTAGTGAATATTATTTGGAATTTACCGAAATTGATTTATTGTAAAATAAACATAAATCATTTTCCTATACCAACAATGGTTTCAACATCTATTGAACATCTCTTAATCATTGGTCGTTGCTTTTATTCTTTTCATGATATAGCTCATTTAGTCAAAGATACACCAAATCTGAGACAACTGACTCTACCGACAAAAGAAATGCAATCTACTGATCATGAACTATCATCATCTTTGACATCTATCATTTCATTGAATATAGGATTTTATCGCGTACCAGAACATAGAATAATTAATTTTTTCCAAAATATGCCCAATCTCTGTCGATTAACATTCCGTATGGTGAACTTATATATCGATGGACACAAACTAGAACAAATTATTCGAAATGATTTAATAAAGTTGAAAATACTCCGATTCGAAATGTCTATAAACTCATTTGATGAGATTAGAATGGAATTAGTTGACGAATTACTCAAATCATATTCAAGTCCTTTTTGGCTTGAAGAACATTGCTGGTTTGTTCGATGTCATTGGCATCGGAATAATAGATATGTCGTTCTCTATACTTTACCATATGCTTTTCATGATTATCATTTTGATTGGCCAATTCGATCACAATCAACGTTTTTTCTTGATCATAATTATGAATGGTCTTATGATCGAGTGCAGGAATTAACAGTGTTGGATACTCCTGACCAAAAGGCAGTTCTACCGAATATTCATTTCTCAAAGGTCAATCATCTTTTTTTATCATATTCGATCAATAATCAATTCGAGTCGCTAATCTCAAACTTCGTTCATTTGACATCGCTCTATTTAATCGTATATAATCACAGTCCAATATATGAATTACATTTACAAGCCTTACTCGATCGATTATTCCATCTTCATCGATTACACTTTATTAGTTGTTCGCATTCAACTTGGTTAAGACCACCATTTCAACTGACGCACACATCGGTACGTGAATTAGGTTTGATAAACATAGAGTACAGTAATGAACAATGTACGGTATTGACTCGTTCACCTCTCGGTATCCAATGTGAAGTGCTTTATATTCATATCAGAAATCGAACTTGTATACTTGATCTTATTCAAACAATGGCCAATCTTCGATTCTTACAAGTTGAATGCGATGAGAATTGGACAAATCAACAATCATTAGAAACAACGGATCAACTTATTGAGTGGCTACAATCTCGTATCTCATCGAAATGGATGATTGCAAGACAGAATCATCGTTCTTCGCCTGTTGTATTATGGATTCGTTGATAAAGCACAAATGATTTATAAAGTATCAGGTTGGAGATTGAAGTCAGAAATTTTTCCTTTTTTTTTGATTTAACTTACTAGAGAGATTATTTTTACAAAGAAATGAGCTCATTGAGTAACAGGCATGGTTTATAACTTCCATTTTAAAATTTCAACAGAGACAGATTTCGATGAGAATAGATTTTTTGTAAAAGTTTCACATTTTTGCATTGGGTCTATTCTCAAATGAGAATGTCAGAATTAATATTTCTACATGAGAGACGTGAAAAATATTTTTTTTAATCGTAATTGAATTTAAACAGAGAATAAATTAAAATATCTCAAAATTTTTCCAATAGACTATTCTTACTAAGACGCGTGCCTCTATGCAAAGTTTACGCTGATATTCTGTTTTTTTTTCTAGTATTCCTTAATGAGTGCAACGGCAGTCGGCTACAACATATGGTAAAAAAGGAAACAGTATTGCAGCAGTTCTAAACTATTATGGCGAACTCTTTTTAGAATATTTCGTTTCTTTTCAATTTAAATAAAATATTATTTTCCAACATATTTTCATGTGATATGAAACATGGATTTTTAATTAAATAATTATATCTTCATTGAACAAGAAAATAAGAGAAATAAATCAAAATTTGATTTATGTTTTTTTTTTATTTTTTTAGTCATATTTTGAATATATGAAAAAAAATACCTAAATTTTAATCTGTTTAATTTTCGGTCTTTTTTTTTAAATAATACAACTATCGTCAGAATAATAATAATAAGGTAATTATGAAGTAGGATCTCGTACATAACCGATAGCACTATTAGTAACACTACCAATAATTGTAATAATATATAATAGAAACATAAATCAAGTTTTGTTTTATTTCTCTTATTTTCTTGTTCAATGGAGATTTAATTATTTTGTTAAAAATCCATGTTTCATATCACATGTATGTATTTACATAAGCAACTATGAACATGGTTATTTTTCAATTTCTGTATTAAGAAATTCAAACAATTAATTATTATATTTAAATGATGGTGCGATCGATTACGTACAAAGTCCTACTGATTTATTATTACTTTATTATTATTGTTCTGATGATAGTAGTATTATTAAAAAAAAAAGACCAAAAATTAAACAAATAAAAATTTATGTATTTTTTTCATATATATTCAAGATATGATTAAAAAATAAAAAATATATCATACTTAGGACAATCCAAAAGTAGTGACGGTAACGCTTTAATACTGTATACTAAACTTCAAGAAACTTTCTCTCTGTATAGTCTGATAGAGGAAAGAATGCCCAATTTTCCTATGCTATTTGATCATACTTCAACTAATATTATAATAATAAAATTTCGATAAGATCTGTTTGTTCTAACATATGTGACAGTTATATTAATGTCTATTCTGTGGATATTTTTTGCATAACTTTTCAGAGAAAGAAGATAGAGAACGGTGGTTTTCATCATTCGGAAAAGGAAATGAAAATGCATCGAATCATATATAACGCGATTTCCTAGTATGTTATATGAAATTTGTTTAATGAATTTTCTAAGTGTGGAAAAAATGGTTTCTTAGCAAAAAGGAAGCAACAAAAAAAACTCTCTACTAAAGAAGTTACCAAAAAAATCACTTATAACTTCGACTAGAATGTCTATAACTTCGTAATGATTAATTCAAAAATATTTGAATCTTCTGTAGTTGTGTACGTCTTCCATTGACGGTTTGAATACACATCCGACAATTGAGAATTCGCTGTAAATACCTTACAGAGTTGGTTTGTTTTCAAAAAGGCTGATTAAAAAGCTTTAAAAAGTTGTGTCAACAAACGTATAATATACAATTTGATGCGTCTTCATTTTCTCTTTCGAATGATGAAAACCACAGTTCTCTATCTTCTTTCTCTGAAAAGTTATGCAAAAAATATCCACAGAATAGACATTAATATAACTGTCACATATGTTAGAACAAACAGATCTTATCGAAATTTTATTATTATAATATTAGTTGAAGTATGATCAAATAGCATAGAAAAATAGAGCATTCTTTTCTCTATCAGACTATATAGAGAGAAAGTTTCCTGAAGCTTAGTATACAATATTAAAGCGTTACTGTCACTACTTTTGGATTGTCCTAAGTACAAATATAAACTAAGTTTCAATTTATTCCTCTTACTTTGTTGCTCAATGAAAATTTAAATATTTCCATTTATTTTGAACATATATTTATTCAATTTTTATTTGAATTTTTTTGAATCTTTAAAGATCATGATTAATCAATTGAACATGATACTATGAATTGACTATAATTCGTAATTTTCTTGAAAATTTCATTTAAAAAGTCTTATAGAATTTGGTTAACTAATCTGATAGTATTGATATTCTCAATTTATGTGAGATAACTTGCTGATAAACCAAAGTGAAAAATAGAATTGAACTCTATTGACGTCTAAGCAACTTTGGATATACTACATATTGAAATTGAATGTATATAAATATATCAAATTAGTCGAAATTACTATCGAAGTATCTATTGATCATGCTCTATATAATGATGCTAAACATTGAACTTCTATCTATTACCATTTGCGAACAGTGCAGAAAATAAGCTAGATTTGTCTCTTTTCTACGTGTTTCCATGATGGTTTCTCATATGCGTATTTTTTCTTTCTTCGCTTGAAACAAAAAAGGAATGGATGTTTAATTAGCTTTCTTACAGCATTATGAATGCTTTTTCTACTTGCCACCTCAATGTGAATTCAACTGTCTTCGTTTCATAACAATTTCAATTTCTATTAGAGGTTCCACAACGATACATATACACACCCACATCCTCAAATTTGTATTTTGATTTAGAAATGTATTCAAACAAAACAAAGAACAGAGAAAAATAAAAACAATAAAAAGAATGAATTCTAAAAAAAACAATCATTTAATCAATCATATTGATAATAAAGAGAAAGAAAAATTAAACAATAAATTTAAATAAAAATAAATAAATAATTGAAGAGATATAGCTAAATTACATGAATTCAGAATGTTTCGAATGATTGAAACGAGTTTATCAAAATAATCGTGTTCATAGGATTTATAGAATCTTTTGATTTTCCAGAATTTTGCGAATTCTGCGAACATGTATAACATATGATGATGAAACAATCATTTAAAAATGAAATAAGAGAAAAGAAATTTTGCATTCAAATACAAAATGATTTTTTCACAAGGGCGAAAATTGGTCGCACAGAGTTTTGCTCGTGTTGAAAGCAAAAAGTGTACAATTAGGATAAGCTTTATTTTGTAGATTATAGAGACTTTCAAGCTGCATCTTATGATATTTTTTTTTTTCATAAGACATTAAGTGATAAAAAAAATCAAATTTTTTGTTCGTCTAGAAAAAAATGATGTTTGCGCAAATGTAAAAATTGAGCAGACAGAATTTTCTTCTTTTTGAAAACAAAAAGTGCACAACTAAAATAAGCTTTATTACGTAGATTGTAGAGCTTTTCACACTGTATCTTGTCGTATATTCTGTTTCTTTTTAATAAGACGTATTTAGAATTTAAAATATGCAATGCAAAGTGTGGCCATTCATTATAGGTCATCCATTACAACTAACATTAACAGAGAATGTCGAAAAGTCCTTGAAATCATTTTCCCTATCAGAAGAAAACTGTAAAAGACAGATACAGGAAAGGCAATTCAAATGATAGTGAAGTAGAATTACGATACAGCATATTGAATGTAAGAAAAATGGTTGTCTTTATTATTATTGATCTAAGAGGCATAAGAGGCAGAACCTATCAACACAAGCAACAAATAATGAAAACATTTAACTTCTCTTTCTTGCAGTAGAATAATGTGAAGAGAGTATTTTTCTATTCGAAACCTGTCGGATGAACTTTAACAGAGAAATATTATATTTTGAAGATGATAGAAGACAATTAGAGCAAATCAATTTTATGAACTATCAAATCTTTAATTGAGATACTACTTGAGAGGAAAGCACAGACCAAGTTTCAAATGAAAGAAGAAGATTGTATTTCTAAGGTAGACTTGTGATTGAAACATGCAAGGATTCATTTTTTTTTTTGTCTAGTTTTTGAAGTGAAGATCAATACAATAAATCGAGCTATCTATTCAGATCGTTGAACAATGTTGAAATCGATCGTTACAATCTACATCTGTTCTGATTTTATCAGAAGGATCTTTTAAAAACTCGCATTTACAATCAATGATGCTTATAATGAATTTTATGCATGATTGTGAGTCTATGAAGATAATCTATTTTGTTCATGGTTATTCGAGATATTTTGCATTGTTCTAAAGAAGACAATCAAGATGTATGTATATTTTCGGAATGTACATTTTATTAATATTGAAAATTATTGGGAATACATAAAAAAATGAAGATAAAAATTGTTGACAATATGGGAAAATGAAACTAACTAACTAAATAACTAACTAACTAACTAAGAATATGAAA